TCGAAGTGCAGTCACCAGCACGTGAGAAATGCTGTGGCTGCAGACGAGTTTGCTGCAGAGGCTTCTTCCTGGGGCCACGGCCACACCTGCTGTCCTCACTGGCCCCCCACTTCCCACTGCGCACGCGGACCGTCAGCACCCCTTACCGTGGTGGCGCTGGTTTCCCTTCTAGGTGCGTTTCACTTGACTGTTCGGTGATTACGTTTTATTATTTTTTTTTAATTTATATTTTTATTATTTATTATTATTATTAATGCCTATAGCACCTGGTCTTCCTAGGTGGTCTTCCATCCAAGTACTAACCAGGCCCGACCCTGCTTAGCTTCTGAGATCAAACATCGGGCTTGTTCAGGGTGGCCTGGCCGTAGACCATGGACCGTGGCTCCACTGGGGCGCGAACCCGGGACCTTCTGTGTGCAAAGCAGACATGCTGACCGCTATACTATGGAACCACGTCCAAGTGATTACGTTTTAAATGCACGAATTTCTCTCCAGTGTTTTCAGTTTCTTCTGGTCAGTGCTCTCAGACCTCCCAGCAGTCGTAGGAACAGCCTGTGTGTTTGTTTCCCTGCTACTTCTTGCGGGGGACCTGCAGGCCGATGGTCCCTGCCCCCCACTCCAGCCCCCTGCGCACAGCTCCCTGAAGCTTGCCGCACCCCTCCTGGCAGCAGGGCCTTTGCACATCCCACTTCTGTACCTGGCACACACGCATTCACTTTCACCTAGGAAACCCGCACTCACATTTCATGTACCCGCCCAGACACCTCTTCCTCAGAGAAACCTGCCCTGAGTTTCCCCCGGGGTAAACACACATACTCTAATGTTTCAGTCTCCGGACTAACAAACTGAGGTGACTGGGCTCAGAATAGGACATACTAGCCATGCATTCAGTCAGGGGGCACGGTCGGGAGGGACACTTACTCTCCACTGGGTAGCCTGCCTGACCAGCAGCAACAGCTGCAGCATATTTCAGTTTAAGGAGACAAGATGGGAATGATTAAAAGGCAAAATGCTCCTGTCAGATCTTAGAAATAAGTGATATACCTAAACTTGTCCAGAATGACACTTGATGGGAGTCAGAGGCACTACAAAACATCAGTGTAAAGCTCTCATTACGTCAGAAAACCCAGATTTGCTGGAAATAGTTACTTGGTCTCCAAGTGCCGATAACGAGTCAGCCCAGTGGCCCTCTCTCCTTGATGCCACTTAAAGAACTGGGCTTTGCCTCCCTGTTAGTTGGCTGTTTATTCAGTGTTTTCCTTGGTACACGCCCTCATTTTATCGAAACGCATTCGTAACTTTTAATTCACAAATTGTTTTTGCCATTTTCGTTCTAGTTATGAGCCAGAGTTATTTCCTGGTTTAATCTACAGGATGATCAAACCCAGGATTGTTCTCCTTATTTTTGTTTCTGGAAAAGTTGTATTAACAGGTAAGTTTTAACAGGAAGTAGTGTCTAAAGGTTTGAAAGTTTCAGGAATGGCATTTTCTCAATGCTGAAAAGTAATTTCATGGCATTGGGATACTCGGAGAGTCACTTGTAAAGATGGCTTTGGCTCTTTTTTCTTTTCCTCCCCGCCAGCACTCTGAGGAGAAGGACCAGAGGAAGTGAGGGCAGGGAAGCTCACGCATCTGTGCTGGACCTTCAGCCAAGTGTGACCTGGGGGGAGGGGAGGAGGGCGCATCACCCCGGCTTAGAGGTGGTGCTCTGGGTTGGAGCCTGCCCTCTGAAGCTTTGGCTCTCATCAGCACTATCGTGTGGAGACCACACTGGGCGACTCAAAGGAGGCTGGTCGGAGACAGCAATGGGGAGGGAAAGATGCAGCTGTTCCCACTGCCGACCTCCGTTTGTGACCTGGTGTGGGGACCAGCATGGTGACACCAGGCCAACAGCACAGTTGTAGTTTAAAGAGCCATGTGAAGAAAATACTGCTTTAAAAACAAAAGTAAGATTGTGGCAAGGGGTTCCAAATGAACATATGGATGCCCGCGTCTGTTAGTCTCACCGGGAATGGAAAGAATCGTGCTAGTAGTTTTGTTTTAAAAGCATAATTTTCCTCTTTGTGTATTAAATGCCATGGCAGTCTCATCTCTACTCCAACTCATCTCCACAGGTGCTAAAGTCAGAGCAGAGATTTACGAGGCGTTTGAGAACATCTACCCCATCCTGAAGGGTTTCAGGAAGACGACGTAATAGCCGTCGTGGGCTCCTGCCCTCCCCACCCACCGCCTTTTAAGAAATCAGTTTGGTACATTGAAACGGTGGGGGGTGGGGCAGCCCCGCCAACCGTGGTGACGGCCTGCACGTGCCCCGTGGGAGCGCCGGGAGGGCTGTCGCTTCCGCACAGGGGACAGCAGTGTTACGTGAGTCGCTGCACTGTGCTGCTGCTATTTGGGCAGCGCTGCCCACTTATTTATAGTTAGGTTTTAAACACTTACTGCTGTTGACAAGTTGGTTTAAGGGACAAAACTTTAGTGTTAAAGCCACCTCTCTAATTGACTGGATTTTTGGTTTGATTTCTTTCCCATAAACCAGTTTTTATATTTCTACCAGAAAAGTAAAAACCTTTTTTTAAAGTGTTGTTTTTCTAATTTGTAATTCCGAAGGGTTATTTTTGTGCCACATTCCGCCTTTTCAGTATTGCAGGACAGGACAGGTGTAGTAATGAGAACAAATGGCTGTAAATATTTTCTCCTCAGTACTCTGTACAATAAATGCTGTTTATAAAAGTGTTAGATTGATGCTATAAACGCTGCCTTGTAAGATTCGTGTGATCAAACTGTTAAAAAAGTTCTATTTTAGATACGATGGCTGAAACCATTGCGGTGTTTCCTTGTCGTTTGTTTCAGTCAACATTTTATTGTACGTGGCAGTGAAAATGGATGAACTGCCTGAAAATCGAAGGGCTCACGAAACATATTTATTGCATCCCATACATTGAGCACCGTTTCCCAGCTGCACTGCCTGTGATTCTCACCCTAACCCTGCAGCCACCGCCCAGAACTCTGCCATCCATCCCAGATGCCCAGCCACTATCCACTATCCTATAACCACTGTCCTAATCGAGATCAGTATTCCATTTTTTTTAAAAAATGTTTTTATATCTGTTTTATTCCTTAAGTTTTTCCTCCATCTCTAAGATCTCAGGCCGTTTGGCTGGTAGTTTCTTTACCGTGTTTGCTGTCGGCAGACTCACGGTGTGGCTCGGTGTGCCCTCTGCTCTCAGTTCAGATGAGCCACTGCATCCAAGTGGCATTCTTTTATTACGGATCTTTGGTTTTCTCTATTCTCATTGATCCATTAACGTTAGTGGATTGCAGCTGATGAAATTCTAATCATTTCATTTTTTTTCACATATTCATTGGAATACTTTCATAAAGTGATGCACTTCATATAGCAAGATAAATGCTTGCTTCCATCCATTTAAAGTTTTTCAAGATAAAATAACTCATGAGTTCATACTGATATATCTAATCCAGATTCAGGACTACAGGGGTTTCATTTGACCAATTCTATGTTATAACTTTTACAGAGAATTCTTAATTAAAAAAAAAAAAAGATGAGTTAAAACATTCCATAATTAGCTATTTACCTCACATTATACACACAGCAGTCTTAGAATGACAGAATACTACCACCGATATGATGAGTGAAAGCATTTAAACCAACATTTGTTTCGCTGTACTTTCTGAATTGGATGATGAAACCAGAACGCAGCCTCTGAGAAAGGACAGGTGACTGGAGTGCCATCTGCAGCAGGGGAGCCGCCTCGTCGGGCAGTGTCGGCCCAGCTGAGGTCTTGGGGGATGGTGGAGTGGATGGATGGGCCACAGTGACTGACGTCCTGTCCTCTGCAGCAGCAGTTGCTGGGTGACGTGTCAATTTACGGTGTTTTTAAATGTGTCTGCATTGCTAGAGGCAAATGAGTTGTGTGGTGTATTTTTTATTTAAAATTTTTATGACTTATTTTTATTTTTTATTTTCACTCTAGTTGCTATTTTTTTTTTTAAAAGAAGCACCACCTCAGTTTGAGACGCTTAAGAGACTCACCCCCAGATGGTTGGAGGGAGGGGTATGTCGGCATGAGAAAGGCAGGGGCGCCCAGCGGTGCCTCTCACCTCGCCTTGCTCAAGGACAAAACATTTGATTTCTGCTGCAGATGAGGGAAAGTAGTCCTGAAGATGAGGGACAGAACCAGCTGTTTTAGAATCTCGCCAGTGGAAGGTAGACTGCAGAGAATATCCCTTCTCCCAGGCCAGAAAGGTCAAAAACGGTACGTGAGCCCCCTGAGAGAAGAGGAAGACCGTCCCCAGTGGGGTTCTTTGGAAGCCAAGGAGACCTCGCCCCTCGTGTGTTCAGCTGGGTTGACAGCTGGGTCTCCAGTGTCTTCTGCTGTGGAGAAAGCCTGCCTGCAGTGAGAGTAAGGCGGAGGGGGTGGCACTGCTGAGGGGTGCAGAGCGGGAGGGAGCACGTGTTCCGGAACCCTCCTCATCCCTCCATCCTGCTGAGTCTTAAGCCAGTTCCATGGCTGTCTGTAAATTCCTTCCTGTTAAATGAGTGTGTCACTTGCCAATAAGGGTCCCGATGCAGATGGAAAAGTTGAGCTTGACTGATGAGTAGAAACGTAGACAGCTGAGAATATAAAAAGCATTCCAGCCCGAAGTTACATTTTTCTGGTGTTACATTTACATTTTTCATCCATTTCAAGTTATGATATAAGGTATGGGTCCAGTTGCTTTTTTTTTTTTTTTTTTTTTAAGCAGTAAGTACTTTGTTGTCAGACAGTTCCCTTTCCTCCCTTACTACTGCTCTTTTTTCCTCAGAGTTCAAAGTTATCCACTCTTGGATATTGCTTTTATACCAAAGGACTTCTTCTGTGTATGGTGTCTTTAAATAACATTCCTCTTTTTTAACCAGTTGTGAGGGATGTATCTGTTGCAGAGTGAGGAGATGGATTCTAACAATAAGGAAGGTAAGCTGTGACATCGCGCTACTGATGTC